TCCTGCTCTTCCTGTCTCTCCCTCCCTCTCCCTCTCTCCCTCCTTCCCCTCTCTCCCTCTCTCTCCTTCTCTCTCTGTCTCTTTCTCACTCTCACTCTCTCTTTCTCACTCTCACTCTCTCTTTCTCTCTCTCTCTCTCTCTTTCAGCTTCTCTCTCATTTCTTCCCCAGAAAAAAAAAACACCAGACTTTTTGTAAAGAACTTCACCTAACTGCTTTTATTTCAAAAAAGAGGAAACGGTGACGTCAGTTCTGGATGCCTTCTGCAATCCAATTTGACTGCTCTGGGTGTTTGGGTGGAGTTCTTAATGTTCCAAAAAGAGGAATTCTTGCCTCCCATTTATTTATTATAAATAAGCAATCTTAGTTCTATTTTTTTTAAAAAAAAAATCTGATTTCTTCTATCCCATAATTCTATGGCCTCCCTTAAACCGCAAAAAAGCAACTTTTTAAAGTTTGATTCTGGCAAAACATGGCTCAGCTTTGGCCAGCTGTGAAGGGTGGCTCATTCAAAGTGGGTGACCTCTTCGTCAGGAAGCTTGGCCGGGTTCCATTCCAGGATGGTGTTACACCAAAGCAGAGATCTGTCTCCACTGTTTTGGTTCCAGGAAACTTTTCAATTTGGAAGTGATGATGGCGGCTGTTTCCTCAGGCAAATTAATGTTTTCTGCGTCCTCCCCGGTGCCTAATTTCTAGATTGGGTTGCAGGAAATCCGTAGCTCATTAAAGAGCCGTTCCTTCTTCCTGGTCATAATCCCAGAGATGACATGTCTTGATGAGAGCAAGTTGAAATTAAAAAAACAAACAAGCAAACTATATGACAAAATGCTGAACCTGTTTCCGAATTCCACCCAACTCTTCCTCTGGTTCGGACCATGAATTGTATTTGCTTTTTACTGCAGAACCTCTTAGCGTTGCAACTCAAAATATTTATGTTATACTAGCTTGATACTCGTGCTTTGCTATGAAACTATGTGGTCGGGCTTAGTTTTTGGAGAGAAAAATAAGAGGGGGGGGGCGAAATTGTGCCTCTGCCTACCAGCATCCATCAGTATTCATCTGGCTAGCATCCTGTCAGGGTGTGAGAGAGTTGAGGGCTGTTTGGAAACTGAAGCAGTATTTGCTGTGTGAGCAAGAAGGAGACAGCAAGGAGCCTGGTCGTGGCTTAGCTTAACTGTTCTGTACTAAAGCTGCTTGCTGCTGTGAAATTAAAATTGAAACTGAAACTCCTCTCCTCTGCTTGTATTTTGCATTTTAGAAGTGATTTCTTTTCAGGTGGGGAGGGGGAGTAGAACTCCTTAGCATTAGAGTGTGTTAATAATAATATACGAAATACTCTAAATGCTCTGATGGTCATTTCAAAACATCATTTCTTAGTGAGCCCCTAGAAGCCAAGAGGAACCTACATGCCAAATTTCAAGTTTGTAGGCTTTATGGTTCTGAAGATTTTGTGATGATGCATGAGTGGCATTTTGCTTTTATATATATAGATTTTTCAGAGCCTTAAAAGAAATATGCACACTCCTACATCTTTTTTTTTTTAAAGCAACGTTTCAGATGTCCCTTAAATGATATCACTGTAGCACGGTTGCATAGCTTTGGAGAGAAAGAAGAAAATCAAGAATGAAAATAAAGTTCTATAAGCTATATTTTTCCCTCCATATTTTTCTCCTATCATGTGGATAGAAAGCTAAAACTGGAAGATTTTTTTTTCCCTTAAGAGAAAAAAAACAACCCTCAGAATATTCTGTGGGATAGTAACTCTGGATCGCCTGATGGGTTTCCGTAAAAAGCAACAAAGAAATTCTAATTTGGGATCCGCAGTGGCGCCTTGTGTAAAATGCACTACTTTGTGTGATGCAGATTTGAACGTCATCAAAATCGCTGGTGTTTTGATTCTTTTGATACAGGGAGATTTTTTTCGGAAAAAAATTCCCTTTGGAAAGGAAGCAAAAAAAACCCTATTTATTTTATTTTATCAACTGGTTGTCACAACTTGTCCAATATAGTCATCTGTTCAGCATCTGAGATAAAAATCATTGCCAACCCATGCTAGCAAAAACCCCAAGATAGCCTGTTTCAAAGGATAAATTGGTAACAGAACAAGCAACTGGACAGTTTGCTGGAATCAAAGCTTCTGGGAAAGCATAGCATAGAATAGAATAACAGAGTTGGAAGGGACCTTGGAGGTCTTCTAGTCCAACCCCCTGCTTAGGTAGGAAACCCTACACCACTTCAGACAAATGATTGTCCAATCTCTTCTTAAAAACTTCCAGTGTTGGAGCATCCACAACTTCTGGAGGCAAGGAGTTCCGCTGATTAATTCTTCTAACTGTCAGGAAATTTCTCCTTAGATCTAGGTTGCTTCTCTCCTTGATTATTATTATGTATTATTTATTTTATTTGTTAAAAGTTTACAATATAACAGAAACAAGAATAAACATAAGTTTAAATACAAGAAATAGGAACTAATAATCGGGGACAATAGGACAAGGACGGTAGGCACGATTTTGCGCTTATGCACAATTCGTTTCCACCCATTGCTTCTTGTCTTGCCTTCAGATGCTTTGAGTAAGGACAGGATTAGATTGATGAACTCTTGACATTTGTTGGGCAAAAGAGGAGGAGGAGGAGGAGGAGGAGGAGTCCTTGGTGCTGCCTGAGCTTGGTGGTTTTCTTGCAGATGTTTCATGACCCAACTGGGTAACACCATCAGTCTAGAAGTGAGTGGGATGGAGGAGGGGGAAGAGGAGGAATTCTTGGTGCTCTCTGAGCTTGGTGGTTTTCTTGCAGACATTTCATGACCCAGCTAGGTAACATCATCAGTGCTAAAAGTGAGGGGAGAGGGGGAGGAGGAGGAGGAGGAGGAGGAAGAAGAAGATTAGGAGTCCTTAATGCTTTCTGAGCTTGACGATTTTCTTGCAGGCATTCCATGACCCAACTAGGCAACATCATCAGTTCTATAACCTCACTTCCTTCTAGCACTGAAGATGTTCCCTAGTTTGGTAATGAGGTTCAGTTCCGAATCGAAGAAGCTTCTTGGATGAGAAGCCAAATGTTTTTTATAAAAAAAAAACCAAGGAAGTCCAGTTGCCTTTTGGAAAAAAAGGGACCACCACGTTCTGGATGATTGAGAATTTGCATCGGCCTTTTCCCTGAGCTCTTATTTTTCATGTCTGCACAAACACTATCGCAGCCCTTCTGTGTAAACCTGTGCCTGCCTCTTGGCTTCCCTCCACCCCTCGCCGTGGTTTCGTGAAAGTGCATTCTGCCTCTTCATCTGCTTCGCAGAGAGAAAAAAATAATGTAAAAAAGGAAATTCTTCCGAAAAGCTACAGATTATCCAGATGGAGGATTATTGTATTTTTAAAAATTATTATTATATACCTTCATTTTGCCTCCCCCTGTGTTGCCTTGGCATTTTTTGCTTTTATCAATTAGATGCTTATAAGTGCCAGGTAAAAACCATTTTTAGAACCCACTGGATGGAAGGATGGCTTTTAACTGCTGAATTAATAATAGCGGCAATCATATTGCACATTGTTTCATGTATCAGGTTTGCAAAAGGCTTCAAGCTCACACCGGGGCTGAGAGAGGATGCTGGTGTCTTAGAACCAAATACAAAAAATAGCATTTTCTTTTGCTAAATCCAAACTCATTTACTACATCCCTGAGGCCAGATACAAACAAGATATTGAATAAAAGAAGCATTGAATCCTTCTCTCTCTCTCTCTCTCTCTCTCTCTCTCTCTCTCTCCCTCTCTCTATCTATCTATCTATCTATCTGCATGTGTAAGAGAAAACAGCAAGTGTAATGAATCTAAAAATAATGAAGAACATAGTTGCTTTCAAAAATCTGAATAAATTCCGGTGCTTGAACACTTCTATCGCAATCTTAAAACTCCTTTTGCAAAAATTTATACATTAGTGTTTCCTTTTCTGCCCTGATTCCCCTTTTGTTCTGATTTGAGATGCATATGTGTATTTGCATGTGTGTCTGTGTGTGTGTGTGCTTGGAAGTGCCATTTCTATTTTGAATAGCTTAGATCTCCTACCTTCTCCCACGTCTTGAGGGCAAATTTTGCCGTGTTCTGTGATGCAGGAAATGGTTGTCAGTGAATTATTATCCTCACATAAAAAAAAGAAAGAATACCTACCTCGAGATTAGCAAAAATGTATCCCAATATGAATCCAGCTTGCTGGAAGTGCAAAAAAGAAAGAAGGTACCGGTACATTTTATCATATGTGATGGTCCTGCTTGAAACTCAAAAATATTGGTTAAAAATTCAAAAGTGGCTACAAGAGATTATCAGTGAGCAAATAGAATTAGAATCAGAATTGTTTTTATTGGGGATATTCAGGAAGAAATATGGGAGAAATATAAAATATTTAATATGGCACATTTTAACTGCAGCCAGGATTGGCTATGCCCATTGTTGGAAACACACATGTATACCGCCAGAGGAATTGATCATTCAGAAAATAATGAGCTGTGTCGAGATGGATAAATTAACTTTGAGTTTACAAGAGAAAGAGGAATCTGACTATTACAAGATTTGGGAAAAATGGTATGACTGGATTGAGCAGAGATAGATTGTTGGATAGATAAATGGATTGTAAAAAAATAAGGATAAGCAGCACTAGATAAGTTAAAGATTTATATCCGCACAAATTTTATACAGTATATTTGTAAATAATGCGCAAAATATTAGTATAAGATGAATGTCACAAACTGTTGATGTTACAAGATTTATATTTTTGTTGTTTGTCGTTTTAAAATTATAAAAGATTAATAAAGTTTTTCCCCAAAAAGAAAAAGAGTAAGAGTAAAAACCCACAATGTACTACTACACTTTATTTTGTTTGGGCTTGAGGGGGCCTCATAACTACACAAATGGGTTTGATTTTAAAATTAGGGAGTAGGGATAGGGTAACCTTTTATTTTTCAAACAGAAATGCATTTAAATTTTTAAAAAATCCTAATGTTACCCTGCTCACCGTTTGTGGTTTTGGATATTATTACGATACAGATAGAAGAAAATAGTTGTAGTTCTGGGTTGAACGGTTGATCTTTAATCAGCAGAACGACTTCGCTTCCAGAAGTTGTGGGTGCTCCAAGACCAACAGTGGAGATTTTTAAAGAAGGGTTTGGACAATCATTTGTCAGAAATGGTCTAGAGTAACGAGAGAGGAAGATGTAATCAAAAAAATTTTTTAGATTGCGCAGAAATGGATAGGCTGACATTAAAAATAAAAGAGAAGGAAGATACAGAATATTTTCAAACGTGGGATTTGTTTTATAATTGGTTGGAAAATAGAAATAGAAATTAGGAGCTGGGAAAATATTATGTTATTACTATGATTATCATTATTACCATTGACAATATTATTATTGATATTATATGATATATTATTATGTAAACAATTGACCCAGACAGTACATATGTATGTTAAATTGAAAATCTATAAATAAACTATATGTATAAAAAAGAAATGGTATAGGGCTTTCTGCCTAGGCAGGGGGTTGGACTAGATGGCCTCCAAGTACACTTCTGTTATTCTGTTATTGTCTGAGCTTGGTTGTTTTCTTGCAGACGTTTCATTATCAAAATAAGTAACATCATCAGTGTCAAAAAGACCACATAATTCGAATATTTATTATTGTTTTTCGTTTATTGGGGTGGAAACTCCTCAAAATTCCTTCCTTAAAACATTAAATATTATCCTGCTTATGTTAACTGTACTGTACTAGCAAATACTGTTCTCATCACATATTTAGCTTATGTAAATACTGGAAAGGAAAAAAAAATCACATTGCTCTTTGGTTCACTTTGTGTTTGCTTTTATTTTTTAGATGTTGTCGTAAGTTGTAGAGTCCTTTTTTAAACAAAACATCTTCGTGTGGTGTGTATTTTTCCCCTCCCAAAGGAGAAACAGGTCTCGGGAAGTCGACGCTAATGGACACACTCTTCAACACCAAGTTTGAAGGAGATCCAGCTTCTCATTCCCAGCCAGGAGTGCAGCTGAAATCCAGTTCCTACGACTTGCAGGAAAGCAATGTTCATCTGAAGTTGACCATTGTTAGCACGGTGGGCTTTGGCGACCAGATTAACAAAGAGGACAGGTAAGTAGGACTTAACCCTTGGTGAAATAGAAATCAGGACTTATTTTCTGGATAGATTCATCCAGAAAACAGGAGCTACGTATGTCTAACGAAGAAAAGGACTAGGGGTGGCATGATAGCAGTCTTCTAATATTTCTCGAGCTGTCAGGAAGAGAAAGGGGTCAAACTATTCTCCAGAGCACCTGAGGGCAGGAGAAGAAGCAATGGATGGAAACTAATCAATCAGAACAATTAATTAGTGGAACAACTTGCCTCCAGAAGTTGTGGGTTCCTGCATGACTGGAGGTTTTGAAGAAGAGCTTGAACAACTATTTGTCTGAAATGCTGTAGGGTTTCTTGTTGTAGGCAGAGGATTGGATTAGAAGACCTCAAGGTCTCTTCCAACTCTGTGATTTCGTTATATCGTTGAGAGCCAAACCTGTTAGTGTGTTCTGACCCAAACCTTGTTCCAAGGAAACAAACACGAAACGGAGGTAACAGCAAAACCCTTTAATGATTCTTTACGAATTCCTTCCTGGTTAAAAGGCTATTAAAACTAATTGTATCTGATAAGAACAAGCCTTGCCAAGGTTATGCAAGGCTGCCAAGAACACTAGATAAAATTGCCAAGAAATATTTCAAACACAAAAAGTATCCAAACACAAACTAAGATAGTCTGAACGTCCACAAGGCTTGAGTGCAAAAACTTCTTTGCTTCCTGCAAAAAACTCCAGTTTCTCAGCTGGCTTTTATCTCTTAAGGAAGGGGCCATCACCTTGCAGCCTTACTCCTGAGTCGCCCGTGCTGCAGCAGCTGCTCTTTCCTTCGAGCAGCCCTGCATGCACACATACTGGGCACAGGCTCCTCAGGAACCTCTTCATCACTGTTGCCAGCCTCCACAATCTCCAAAGGCAGCGTTCCACTCCCTGATGGTCCTGGCCCCATCCCTACATCACATGTAGGCCCCTCATCTGAGTCCTCAATCTCCCAGACCTGAGCTGTCTGCACCTTCTGCCGGTGAACCACAACATAGTGCCTTGTTGCTTAATCCAGACAGGTCCCTTAGATTGGTTCATATGAAGCTCTGAACAGAAAAGAGAGTGGACAAGGCTGGCATTTCCTCATGAGACATGTCCAGTCTTGACTTCTGGGACTGGTAGTACTCACCCAACCATCTGGAGAACACCAGACAAAAGAAGTTGCGCAAAAAAAGCTTTTCTTCTTTGTAGGAAGCATCGGGAAAAAATTAACACGTGTTTTGTCTCCCCATATATATTTTTCCCATGAAGCTATAAACCCATTGTGGAATTCATTGATACCCAATTTGAAGCCTACCTACAAGAGGAGCTGAAAATTAAGCGGGTGCTGCATAATTACCACGATTCCAGGGTCCATGCTTGCTTGTACTTTATCGCTCCCACAGGACATTCTTTGAAGTCCTTGGACTTGGTCACCATGAAGAAACTGGACAGTAAGGTAGGACGTGCAGGTCTTCTCCAGATGAGAAGGTCTTCTTCTCTTCTCTTTTGACTCATGAGGTCCACTTCTGTGGTGCTTCCCATACTTTGATTAAGTGGGATATAATTCATTTGGAGATTGTGTTGTTTGCGTGCAGTTCAGTAGTGGTATTCTACTGGTTTGGCCCGTAGTGAAAGAAACAGCTACTGGTTGGGCTGAACCAGTATTTCTTTCTTTTTTTCCCCTCCCAATGATCAGCTGTTCCGATGATCAGCTGTGCTGGGATCCCTCTTGCTGTCTTACTGCTTTGCCCAGGAGGCAAAAAAAAAAAAAAATGGAGTGTAGGGGGGTGCTGCAAAAAAAGAAGAAGAAGCCATGCCCACCCAGTCACATGGCCATGCCTACCTAGCCACGCCCACAGAACCGGTTATAAAAATATTAGCATCCCACCCCTGATGCAGTTGGTATTCTTAATTCAGCCCTTCTTAAATAGAATCTGGTAGCAAGTTTAAGGATGTCTTATGCTGGTTGGGAAAAAGAATATTGGAAGATTGAGCCAAGAGACTCAGCCAAGGGAGAGAGCAGATAAGGGACAGCCTAGCCCACACTGGATAACGGACGGGGTAATCATCTCAGAAGGGATCCTTCTCTAAGTCCTCAGGCTGTTAAAGTGAAGGTGGGAGTTTTGTCCTTTCAGACTTGCAAGTTTCTGTTAATGTAAATGTGCTATAAAATAGCATTAGCTCACCTGGTTGTGATTCCTATCTGGTTTACCCCACCGGGCTATCCTCCATCTTGCGAGTGTGAAAGGGCATCCTTTCTCCCTCCTCCTTTACAGCCAAAGAAACTAGGGAAGGTCTTTTTGGAAGCTAATTCTACTCACTGTTCAGTTCGGGGCTCTTCTGTATTTTATCTGGGGTGGGCTGCTGGGGGTTCACAGGGGTTTGGGAGACCCTCTGACTAAGATTCTGCACAGTTCAGAGAACCCCCAAATCCCACTCCTGGCTGGCCCCTCCCCCACCTCCCAGGAGTCCCCAGGTGGCCCATTTTGGATGCAGGTAAGTGCAGGGGACACACGGAGGCTCAAGGAGAGCAAGAAATGCCCCCCCCCAAGTTTAGGAAGGCTGGAAATGGGCCCATTTCCGGCTTCCAGAGAGACTCCAGAGCCCAGGGAGGCCATTTTTGCCTTCCCGGAGGCTCTAGGAAAGCCTCAGGAGCCTGGGGAGGCCAAAAACGCTCCCTCCGCCATGATGCAGGAGGCCGACTAGGCCACGCCCACCATGGCCACGCCCACCCAGCAACTGGGCAGAGAACCCCTTGCTAAAATTTCTGAAGCCCACCCCGGCTCTTATCTGACCATTCCCTAGTCAGCATCTCCTTGTCCCATCTCCCAAGGTCTTTCCCACCTGTTATTTATTACACAATGGAGTTTCTTTGAGAAAAGTTTGGATCAGACTGGATAGTCTTGAATTGAATCCAGAACCGGACAAACTATGACATGGGAACCCTGATTATGCCACCGATTATCCATGATGTGCATACCCCAAACGGGTGCATGTCAATGTGAAGTTAATTGCAGCCATATGCTCTCTCGTGTGGAGTACAGATGAAAGGAAAAGGAATGGAACATTAATCAAAATCTTGCTTCCCAAACAAAGAGTCGTGTGTGTGCATATTTCCTGTTCAGTTTTCAGTTTTAATTCATCTATCTATCTATCTATCTATCTATCTATCTATCTATCTATCTATC